AAAAAATATTTTCAAAAATCATCTCAAGAAATTTGTATATAATTTATATACATTTCATTATGTTTACTTTAATAATAAATATACTTTCATTTAATAAATAAATAGTTTATAAATATGCATAATCAGTTCAAATTAATGGTGCATTTATTTTTGGTGCATTAAACACTTTGACACATTAAATGTGATTAAATTAATTAAATACTGTTTGTCAGAGCTTTTTTATATTGTCTGTAATAACAAACAGAGATAAACACTCTCACAGGCACACAAACCCACATAATACAAAGCAACTGAAATCCCATCAAAACTACTTAAGAGTTGAAGAGATGCTTAAGCATCATTTTGATGAGGACAGCAGAAAAGGGGCATGAAGAGGGAGAGATGGAGAGAAAGTGGGGGATTAAAACATCAGAAGGTAAAACTTCCTCCCAGACTGATGTCCTGTCCCAAAGGAAAGAAAAAAAAAGAATAATCCCTCCCTTAAACGGACAGCCTGCACTTTTACCACCCACAGAGTGCTACACACACACACACACACACACAGTAGCTGAGTAAGCAAACGTATGAACTCTTCACAGTTTGTTTGTCCTAAAGATACCTCAAGGTGCTGATCTAGGCCCAGACTTCAATAAATAAAGCCAGAATGACAGTTTTTATAGACCAACCACAGCATTATTCTGAGATCTGAGTTTACCAACATGTGTTTATTTTTATATTCCTTTAAAGGTCTATACCAGAATATTTCTGTATTTTATTCAGAAAATTTTGAATAAAATTTTCTGTATTTTACATTTTTGTCTGATGTTTTAATTAGCATTTAATTTTCTATTTCCTATAAAATTTTGTATTTTATTTCATTTCATTTTATGTTATTTGATTTTATTATTTGATTTTATTTAAATATATTTAATATTTAATTATTTTATTTTATATGTAATTTCAGAATTTCGTAATAACAACATTTCATAATAATTAAATAATTATTGTAATTATTAGTATAATAATTATTACTACTAAACTAATAAAAACATCTAACTGTGATGGAGATTTACCGCTGATTACAGAACCGGCTTTACTGACAAGATGCGCATTAAATATCGCATGCGATTTATCGTGCAGCCCTACTGTTAGCCTATCCCAAACCATTACACTGAACTTTTAATGTTTTCAGAAATGAATAAAGAAATTTCAAGCCTCTTTGCAGTGTTTTAAATGTTGTTCTTTTGTGTTGTTTTATTTTAGATTTTATTTCATTATATTTTTTATTCTTATTTCATTCAATATTTCTTTTTTTTGTTGTTGCTATTTTACATAATATTTTTGTTATTTTATGTTGTTTTATTTGTTATTTTATATTTTAATTCATTTTATACTTTATATTTATTTTTTTTAATTTCATTTTGTTTTATTTGATTTCATTTCACTTTGTATTTAATATATTTGATTTGATTTGATTTGATCAGGGATATGACCTAGGCCAGACTCATGCCACAGCTCTAATGATTTCAGGTTTTACTACACTTGTGCGGGCCATTTGTTCTCTACAAAGATAGCAAATCCTGCCCACCACACACAGAGAGCTATAAAAGAAGTAACTCCCCCTACTTCAACAGCAGACATTGCTGAAAGATCAGCTGAGGAATAACTAGTGATGCAGTTGGCACAAACCTTGAAGAATAACCTCTGCCCCTTGAGATCTGACCCGAGTATACTGCAGAATAATACAAAATCAGTCAGAAGATCACACATCTCATGCACAAAAAAATCCACAGACAGACAGTCTGCAAGGGCAAATGAGGACAAATCCAATAAAGAAGACTAGCAGCTGTGTTATGCAATTAAACAGAGCTGCGTTTGCATGCTTCATTAAGATGCTGAGAGCTATCAGAGATGCAGACATCCACACACACACACACACACACACACACACACACGTGGCTTTGTCCAATCACCCCTGCACTCTCTAAAATCCCACCCACTCTCTCATTTGCCTCCAGGTGTTCATTTCTTTCTCAGTACGCCCCCCATTCCAATTAATGACTCCAATTGCATCCCCTGTCTAACGAGCTCAGAGAAAGAGAAAGGACTGTTTTTACCAACTCTATAATAACCTTAACCTAGAAGCAGAGGTCAGGAATGAAAACTGCCTCTGGTATGACGCTCCACAACACCAACCTGATAATAAAAAACACGCAACCCTAAAGCAACTGCACTTAGTAAGAGGACGACAAGTCAGTGATTGCTTGCACATGTTAAAAGATATTGACACAGAAAATATTTGGGTATCTCACAAAGGTTATCCAGAACATGCACAGGTCAAAAAGTCAAAAGACAAAATAATAATAATAATAATAATAATAATAATAATAACAACAATAATGATAATTATAATAATTATTATTATTTATATAGTAATACTACTACTACTACTAATAATAATTATTATTGTTGTTTGTTGTTGTAGTTATTGTTATTATCATTATTTTTTTAAAAAGAGCCTATTTTTAGTCTCTATTTTATTATAAATATTATAAAAATATTTTTGTTGTTGTTGTTGTAACGGTTTTTGTGACAATTAAGATAATTACCCCTGAAATAAAATTAAATATAAAATAAAATAATCAAATTAAATTAAATCAATTAGCCCAGATGCCCTATATAATATAAAAAATTAAAAATAAACATTTTTAATAATAAAATCTATGGCATTTTTAATAAACATAAACAAAATCAATACAATACAAAATAAATTACATTAAAAATGTGTGCTGATTTTAATATATATTTTAATATCATATATCAGCATAAACATTTTATTTAACATCTGAACGTGTTGTACTGCATTTAATTTATTCACATTGTAATATGTGGCCTATATAGTATTAAACTACAAATATAAAATATTTATATTTATTATTTTTAATATATATTTTTACACACGTGTGTGTATATATATATATAAATTTTTTTTTAATACATTTACTTTTATTTTATTTTCATTAATATTTAATTATATATTTTCATATATTTCATTTATTTTTAAGAATTACTTTACATTTAAAATAAAATTTTCATTTAAATTTAACTTTTAAAATATGCCTTTTATTTTACCTAAGATTACATGTTATATGTACAATATAAAAAAAAAATTGCTGTTTCATGTGAAAATGTTTCAAAGACACCCCCTCACACACACACACACACACACACACACATCAAAGGAGCAAAACAAAACCCATTTATCACATTACAGACTTCTGCATTGAATATCAATTGAAAATTTAAAAAAATGAATCAGGTTAAATAAATGTTTTTTCCTACATTTTTGTCTACTTTTACTGATGGTGTTGAAAACTACACAAAGAATAAAAAAGGAAGGAGCTCAACTCACCACAACACATATCCAGGTGTAAACACGCTGCTTTCTTCCTCAGTCTGATCCCCCTGCAGCCACACCTGTAACGGTCATTTGCATGTGCGTTAGCATTTGAATTAGACATTTAAATAACGGCTGTTTAAAGGAGCTAATCCTCAACCCCACAGGATGCTAATAAGAAAATGTGAAAGTGATTTGTGTAGCAACATTGATGTGAGCTTGGCCAAGTACATTCTGAACTTATTATCTTGAGTAATAACCCTGAGCAGCCTTTTTATTCCACTTCCTGTTTACACTACGGTGGGAATGTCCCACAAACTGACAATCTTTCAGTCACACTCCTCTTGTGGCTGCGGTTTACGACTGAGCAAGCTGGACAGCTTTTTATCATCAGAGAGGAAAAAATGTGGATTATATTTATTCTGAAGTCTGATTCTTAGTTCAGTTTAAAACCTTGGAGGGGTCTTTAACATAGAAATCTAGTGATATATTGATCGGCTTGGCTATTGTATTGATTGATTGATTGGAAAAGGTCAGTTTACAACAGGGATCAGTTCCTGTCTGCATGTTTGTCCCATCACTACAGGGTCAAAGGTCAAGTTCTATAGTTGCCGCAATGAGAACTGCAGAGCAAGACTTCAATAAGATAATACGTAGCTACAAATAAGCATATTCCTTTGATGGCGTGCCAAATTAAAGATCGTAACATTTTGAGATCATGAAACTAGTTAAAGACTATATACACACACTGACAAACATTATCACAAAAGCAAAACACAAAAAAGCTACATTAAAACACATTGATTTAGATTTATACAATAAACAATAGATAAAACAATAGATTTATACCTCAAAATATGATAATGCGCAAAGGTGCACACATGTCTGAGGCCACCAGTCAAAATAATTGTAATTTGCATTTCTTTAATTCAATACATTTTACTTTCATAATACAATATAATAATATTGTATACAATATTTTTCAAATTAAGTTTTTATGCATTTAAATATGAGCCTGATAGTGAAGATTTTTAAGCTTTGCACTTTTTTTATTTTATATCACAAAATTCATGTTTTAATCTTTTCAAAATGTAAATAATTTCAGCTTTAAATCAGATTTTGAATTGGATTTTCAAAGTGGCCTCAAACATTCGAATTCAATTTAATTTGTCCTAGTATATATATTTTTACTTAATATTTTCCTTCAAGCACACTGATCTAACAAGGTCATAAAATTAAGAGCATATGTTAGTGATTCCACTTGATCTGTGGAGCAAAGAGGTCACACACACACACTTAAATATGTGTTATGGCATGTTCATTCAAATAGACTCTCATGCCCAGATGCTCAGAAACACTTTAAAGTAAAAAAAAAAGATCACATGTGGGATGGAATGAATGTGATCTGAGTCAACTCACTATCGAGAAGAGTCGTTGAACTCCGAAGGGTCACGGGTGCAATAAAAGTCCGTCTGTTTTATGTGTCCTATCACTTTTCTTCTGCCATAACCTGATAGCTGAGCAGAGAGGAAACTTTCTCAGGCAGTAAAAAGTGACTGAACTCCAGTGAAAGTGGACCACACAGCGATCCTCCATCCTCAGACATCACAGGCGCAGATTATTTCACGGTTCTGGCTGAATAACACAAATACCTGGGGGGCAAAGGTCTGGTCAGGAGGATTCTGGACACACAAGAGAGCATTCAGTGACCCCTGGCTTTTAATATGAGGGCCATGTATGGCATCTGACCTCTAGCATTGGTTTAAAAATATCCCCAGACTGAAGATAGCCGTTACAGTATACTGTAAAAATGAGAAGATACATTTGGGTTTCCTCAGGTTGAACTGGAGGAACCCTCTGGAGAACTTCTGGAAACTTTTGAAGCTGTCAAATATTCTATTGTATGCTGAAGAAACTTCACTATGTAAATCAAGTACCTCAAATAATTTCCCTTAGGGTTGCTGGCATGTTGACAGTATTGGAGAAACTTCCATCTTGTAAGTTCCTCAGAAAACAACCATTCTGAGAGGGCACCTAGAATGTTTTGAACATATCAATACACTCCACAAGAGATTAAATGAATATTTAATAATTCAATAATGGATTAGACATAACCTAGGATTAACAGAGTCAGGTTTAATCAAACAAAAGCATTTCAATTCTTACAAACTAAGAAGAAGTTTCAAAGAGATGGGACAAGATAAAAAGTGGGAAAACCGTAAAGCTAAACCCAGAAACAAGGGCTAAAAAGTCAATAAAATCACCTTAAGTTCTTTGACGCGTAAAGAGCCCTTATGTAACATTAACATCGAAACAAAACATCCCCTTAGATTCGCGCTCGCCTCCCACAGTGATCCAGGACATCTGGCCTTGTTGCTAGGAAACAGAGGTCCGAACAACCGCTCAGGTGGACATAATTCGTTTAAAAATGATTTAAAGACACAGACACCAGCAGATAAACTTTAAAAACAGATCCGGCCAGATCAAAATGTTTCCTCAATTGTTGAATTAAATTGAGCTCAGTAAGATTTTTTAAAGAAATGTAATACTTTGATTTAGTAAGAATAATGCATTAACCAAAAGTGACAGTAAAGGCATTTATACACCTTATTTTTCCCGTTAGAGCGGGCGCGGCCATTTGTAAATTTTATGTGCGATGCTTCCGGTCTCATCCGCTTCCAGCTATTTTTAGCTGTACAAAACAGCTCGTTTTGCTGCTTGATATTGCAAACTGGTGTGTTTTACCATATTATTTTAATGTATTATCTTAATTATAAACAAACTGGTTTGGAGTGCAAACAGTTTTCGCGTTTACTGTTATTCTTATCGTTATTTCCCTACAGCAGCTAACGAACCAGAAGTCTCGCACATTCATAGAAAACGGCTTACTTCCGAGTTAAAAAATAAGGTGGATAATATTATAAATTATATCTGTATCAAATAAATTCTGCTCTTTAAACTCTATTCAACATTGATAATAATAAGAAATGTTTCTTAAGCATTAAATCAGCAGACCAGACTGATATTTGAAGGATCATGTGACAAAAGACCAGAGTAATGATGTAGAAAATGCCATTTGTCTGTTTGAAAAAGACAGTGATTTATGTTTGCTTATGAATTCTTGTTGAAGCAAGTATGCTTTAAGATTTTAAGAGGGAACTTTTTGGGTTTAGACTAAATTTCTACTTCTACACCTCAAGCTAAGCTTTTATACAACCAAAACAATAATTATCCCCAAGCACGTGCTTGAGCAAGTCAAAAGAGGAAAATATATGTGGTTTTCATGCATGTTTGCCATCTGTGCCAAATACACAAGATGGTCAAAGTCACAGTAGCCTATTCATGTGTACAATCTCACATACAAAGTCAGTCTTTATAGGTGCCACTGTAAAGTCTGGCCATCCAGCCCACACAGATGATGAAAGGTTTTGAAGCATTCATTAGAGTGGGGATGCTTTGTGTAAGACACAAGACCTTGTTAGTGTGTGTTGACATTATGTGAGGCCTAGGACTTGTGCTCTGGTGGGACAGGCGGCTCCTTCATTATTCATGATTCGCCTTGCTGATGCTATTTATACCAGCGTTTTGACTCATCACGCTCTAGTGATTCTGTCTGCTTCTGGAAATTTGTCCATGTGAGGACCATGATTGTACTTCCTCAATGCATTTTAAGGCCTTTGTGCTGCTGCACCTGTAATAAAAGAGGGCAGAGAAACGTATTACTCACAATAAATTACATCAGAAATAATTTATCACATAATTGTCCTATTTTTATTCCTGTCTGGATTGAATGCATCGGCGTAAAAATGTGCCATTAAATAAGCACAGGGTAGGAAATGTACAAACTAAAATACAATAAAGACAGAAAAGACCAAGTTTCTACATTTTATCATCAAAAACACTTGTATTTTGGGTGCAAATTTGGTTGGTATTTGAACTGTGAAACTCATCTGTGGGTCTTTGCAGGTCTTGGTTCTCTGGGGAATCTCATTTTCTCTGGAGAGGAAACTGGAAATGCCAAGTTTCTTCACATGGGAGGCTGCCCCATTAAAAGAGAAAGAGGTTTTGGAGCATGTAATTTCAGCAGCAGTCCGCTGGCCATCTGCGAAAGCTGGCCTGCACCGGGCACAGCTGTTTAATAGCAGTTTCAAATATAGAGTCAGATGTCAAGGGCGAGACCACCCATTTTAAAATCATATTCATAGAACAACAACGACTCCCAACTCAGAGGGATTATACTGATATATAAGATAAAAATATCTTAAAAGCCTAAGGTTGGTTGGTCTATACTGGTCTCTCAGCCTGGCCAAGCTAGGCATAGCTGGTCACAGAGACTGACTAGCTAAAGAGTGTCCTCTAAAAATTCTAAATTCTTAAAAAGCAAACGCATAAGGTGTTATGAAGTAATAATTCAAGTAAGCAATATCATAATCAAGTACGCACTCCTTATTTCAAAAGCATAGCAAACTTCCTAAAATTGCTTTCTTTAAGGTACTTTTAGGTCTGATACGTGGTAACGCAAGAAAAGTCTGCCATCTAGTGGTGTATTCTCAGCAACGACTTCTCTTAAATCTAGACCCGTCAAACCAGTTAAACTTTCCTTACAAACATTTACACTATGGTAACCACGGTTTCCAAAATACCATAGCTACTACAGGAAAACACAACAAAAATTGATCTTCTTCCAACAGTGTAAGCAGCTTTCAAACTTTTTGATGACAGAGGAAAGTTTTATTGTAGTAAAAAAATGTTACCATGGCAAATTCTTTCAGGCTTTCTGAGACAAAAATATTATATTTTATCCCATAAACGGCAGTGTTATTATTTTAGTATTACTTTATATGCTATATATATATATATATTTCTCTTTTAATATTTTCAATTAAGTTATTTTTATGTTTTGAGATGTTAATAATTGTGTGCTTCTGGCATTTTTATTACTTTTTAAAATACATTTTTAGTTAGTTTTCAGTTACCAAAGATTTTTATTATTATTATTATTATTATATTATTACAACATTGAATAGAATCAGGTTTAATACTATACCTGCACAATTTATTTTTTCCCCATCACAGCCCAAAAGTGTAGTTCATAAAGACACACACATATCCAGTCTGCTCAATCTTTATTGAATAAAACAGAGATCAGAGGAAACAAACATCACTTTGTAGCTGTAAGAAGGCAGATAGTACCCACATAGTAGTGTATGGAAAAACATGGCTAAAGTATAATTCCTTAAACATTAACTTTAACTAGCAAAAATAGAGATCATAATCGTCACTGGGCTAAGTGCTTACGGAAGGGGGATCCACATTGGTCACCATTATTTCAAAGCTAAGTCTTTGATTAGAGCTGGACTTCACTGAGTGATGCCTATAACACCACAGGCCAGACGACCTCCAGCGTTGCCAGTTTTAAGACTTTCATCATTGCCTCCTTTACCCAAGTCATCCTCTTTCTCATGGATCTAGAGCAGAATATACACAATGAAGTCAGCTGGTTTGTGCTATTAGACATGCAGCTGATTATAAATCCAGAGTTGTTTTCTTACCACCATGGTCCTCCCAATGACGGAGTGTTCCCCTAAAAGGGTCACCATTTCATCCACAATGTCAATTTTTGCAACACCATTGTCACCAGCTATCACGTTACCAAGGTCTCCGACATGTCTGTGGGACACAGAACATTACGGTAATAAAAACACATTTGCTAGAACTCGGCTGCTTGAAATGACACTGAAAAGGTTACCTTTTACAGGTACATGGTTTACATTTAGAAAAAAAAATAAAAAATTAGGTCTGCATGATCCTAGAAAATAACTGGCAGGGCAGTTTCTATGATATATATTGCGATACAGACATTTTCTTGTCTAAAAATGACTTTTACAGTTATATTTGGAAAAAATCAATTAATCTAATCTAAAATGGCTGGGGTGACTCATCTCCATAGAAAATTTAAATCATAAAAAAAAAAAAGCTGGACATATTTGAGTGTTCAACACTAGAATATGCTCTTTATAAAAACAAACTCAAACCATAAAGTTAACAGAGCTTTAAAATAATATTTTAATAGTCCTTTCCACTTGAATTTTGACAGAATACATTCTTACTGTATTTGATCCATTCAGTGACTATAAAATAATTGATTTTTATTGTGAATATCATTAAATAAAAAATATGAATCAAAGCAAGAAATATTAGCGCTGGGTTTTGACTCAAATTCTGATTCACAAGCTTGCGATTCGACTCCATTCAAACAATATCAGGGACATTACATGACAAATTTTCAAGGAAAAAAAAAAAAAAATCTCTTAACTAATGCTGTAAAATATACACGAGAGTCAGCTGGTACTACATTACTATAATACTGAAGGTTAAAATTAACTGACTTGTATACAAATGCTTAAATTAAATTACACTCTGTGAAGTTTTTTTAAATAAAAGTTACAATTACATAATTATATTTCTACTCCAATTCGTTTTTTGAAATATAAGCACTTAAATGATAGCTGTCATAAAATCTTGAAGGATTTATTCAAAAGTAAAGTTTATAGTCACCGATGTTTTTTCCTGAGGTTTTCTCTTTCTTTTAACATACCTTAGGATTTCTTTCAAGTTTATTTCGTGCTGAAACTGGTATTAAAGTGAAGGAAATGATCAGTTCACGTGTGCTACAGCGATCTGTCACTCCACATTAAACAGCGCCAAAACGGCATTTATTGTTTGAACACAGAATGGACAGAATTTGAAATCTAAGACTTTGTTTCATATCAAAAGTAACCAAGCTTATTGCCATTTTTTTGCGCTATAATGTTCCGTTCATTAACTGAAAACAGGTTAGACTAATGGATTCTTGGGATTTAAGAATCAATATCGTTTCATAAAAATGAGAATCGATTAAAATTGGGAAACCAATATTTTTTTACCCAGTCGTAAGAAATATATACTAAAACTATTGCTCAGTAAAATATAATGCTCTTAAAAGCGTAAAATGTACTCGTTTTAATTTGATCTCAAAGTTCAGTATAGTCAATAATGATCCATTTACTGTGGATTCAAAATAATCATCACATTTATAGCTCAGTTGATTAACTCATATACTTCTGTAAATAACGGAGTAACCACAAATGACATGAACAGGACAGCTAACAGACAAATTATTATAGTCCTCTGTGCTCTTTGAACATTGCAATATCTTACTGAATACAAAAGTAATAGAACACTATTTAAGAAGTACTGCTCTTTAGATATATGACAACTTTGTGGGCAGGTAGAGTTTGTACTGTGACCTATACCACGAATAGATCATAAAAATGAGCGTTTCACCAAATATAGAGATTAGGAAACACGTAAAGGGGTCGTGCCATACAGCACACTGCTAAACTCACCTGACACCATCAGTTGGTCCACCGTGATTTTTATCGTGAGGGTTGAAGTGCGGACCTGCACTGATGCAGCCTGTGAGGAAACAAAATGGTTTATGTCGGAGTTCAAAATAAAGACATATCTAGGGGTTTAAGGTAAAAGTCATCAGTCGTAATGGGATTAAGCTGTACTTTAAGGTCAGTGACAGGAGTAATAATGGTGCTTACCATTTGTGTTGTCTCCAAAAGCATGGACATGGAAACCATGCTTTCCTGGAGTAAGGCCAGTGATTTCACCTGAGAGCTTCACTGGAGACCCGTCATTCTAAAACAAACAGATCACTCATTTGGTCGATGATGGTTTCATATCACTTCAAAAAACAGAAGCATTTACTGTTTGGCATTGTGAATGGTGCAAACAACACCAAAGTCATGGGTTTGATTACCAGGGAATGCAGGAACTGATCAAATGTATACCTGCAATGTAATGCAAGTGAAATAAAATCACCTGCCAAATGCTTAAATGTAAATACTTGACAGTTTCTGCAGGTTTTATAAAGGTAAATTTAAAACTTTAAGATCAAGAATATGTCAGGAATAAATTGAAGGGAGCACAATATGTTGGGAAGCACACAATGAGCTGCTTTAGCAACAATTCAAAGCTTGAAAACAACTTTCAAGGGGTCCTTATTGTGCTTTTTCAACTTTAGTTAGTCTGTAATGTTGCTGTTTGAGCATAAAAAAAGATCTGTAAAAGTTACAAAGCTCAAAGTCCACTTCAAAAGGAGATATTTTATTTAACAGAAATCACTTTTCAAAAACTACAACGAATGACTCATTTGGACTACAACACATATTTTCCGGGATTTGTGATATCACAAATATGGACGAATGGGACGAGACCTGGTTGAGCTGCACTAGAGAAGGCAACGAGCGCTAGTTTGCCCAAGGCAGACGAACTTAGAGTAGTTACGATCATCCGGCTTTAAATCGCGCTCAATGATTTGATTTTGACGCAATATTTACACTGAAGCTCGCAGGCAGCTATGGTAAGGGCATGACATTTCCAGACCAGGCGCCGAGTGCTGCCAATCACAACACTGGGGAGAGAGGTGTTGTAATAATGTAAAATATGTGAAAAATAGCTAAAGTTTTTCGAACAACCTAGTATGAAAGCCTGTTCTAGTACACCCCCAAAACAAAATCAAGACTTTGTAAAAGAGCATAGGACCCCTTTAATTTTGAAAACATTTTTTTAATAGCTTAAGGCTTGGATAGCTCTGCTCACAACTGATAGAACATAGAAAGAATTTTTACTTTATCTACTAAACACAATGTAACAGGTAATGTTCTTCCTCTGTGTTTTTGTCTTGTTTTCCAGTGCAAATGTCTAAATATTTGTAAATCAAGATACATTTACTTGAGATGGAAAATGGCAAGATAAGAAATCTTGTTTTCTGATGAAATGAGATTATGATTAAAACAAGAACAAATAGCCCAGCTAAAAAAGTAGGTCAAAAAGCTTACCTTAAAAGGAAAACAAGTTTTTATATTCCATTGACATATTTGGTCATGTTTTAATCATACTCAATTTCTCAGGGCAAATGAAGACGTTCAGGACATTTTTTAAAATCGCCCAAGTATATAAATATGATCATATTTATGACTATAACAAACACTACAAATGGTGTTTGAAGAGCAATGAAATGCTTTTACACCAGTACAGTTCGAGGCTTGTGTGCCTTGATCTCTGTCCTATTTGGCAAAATTATGACAGCAAACAAACAGAGACAGAGAAGCATGACTCTGCAAACTTGTCCCTTCTAGTTATAATTTCATGAGAATTTCAAGGTGAAGTCGATGACACCACAGTCTGCCACCAAACCCTTCAGAACGCTGCAAACGCACAACAGTTTCATCATTCGCATGCGTGCGTGCAAATAATTAGCATGGGTGAGCACGGGGGCGCATACTAAACGCAGACCTGCCATCGTATCAAAGGTCATTGCTGAGCCGCTTTTAACAGTTCTAACGCATTTATGCAATGTAACATTGTACAGAAGTCAGTCAACAAGTGAAATGTATAACAGGCCACTGTAGTTTAATATCAAATTTGGTCATCAATATCTGCATGAGATTAGCACAGCTAATCCCATGCAACTGCATAAGCATGTCAAGCTAATGCGTGGACTCCTAAATTATGGAGTAAATTACATAATATGACATGCTGCGCGCCGTAGCTGCAGGCTAGCTCGCTGCTCTCCCGCTGCTACAGGAACGTCATAACAAACGCAGCAAAAAAAATATCACCTTTTTTTTTACCTCTTGCTCGAAATAAACAGTGCCGGTCACTTCCCCGGTGCCTTTAAGTACACAAACTGCCTTCTTCACCATGCTGCCTTTGAATTAAGCAAACTGTAAAGCTGTGACTGAAAGTGAAAGATATGGACAGTGTTTGATGAGAGAGGAGGCGCCGTGAGCCGAGCTGTCCAATCAGGTGGCAGAAGAGACCCGTCGACGGTGATTGGGTCAAAATCTGGCGTGTCCGCTGTCATACGGAAGTGACGTGAATGTCCTTATATTATGCACAAATTCTAGACTTCTTTTTTTTTATGAACGAAATTAAATATCTTACGTCGTTAAAATTGTCTAAGAATAAAAAGCTTTAAAAATATCTGTTTCAAAATTATCTTTCTATTTTTAGTGAAGATGTAATTTTTTTTTTAAATTATTTTGCTTTTCTCAATTTTTTTGTGGTTTATTTGTTTCTCATTGTACTTGTTACAGTATGTAGTAGTTTTAGATTTTAAAATGTTTCAAAGAAAGGATAAAAACGTCTTCTATATGCATTATAGCACAACATCTACAGTAAAGGCAAATACATATTTACAGTGAATGAGTGTTTCCTTCAAATTATTATACTTATATACCAACCACTTAAAAATTCTAATGTATTATGCTCATATAGAAAAGATATTGCAAATGATAAATCAAAGAACATGGTTGTCACTTTGACCTTGACATAGTCACATGCTGTCCTCTAATTCCAGTCAGGACCCATTCATTTAGATATAGATGTCCTATTCAAACCATGACGAATGGTTTGGAAGTAGAGTCACAAGATAAATACCCCAATATGGTTGTATATGCCATAAGGCCCAGTAAACAGTAATATGTTTATTGATGATTAGCTTTAAACTTGATAACCTTATGACTAGTTGGCACAAATATTTATAAAACACTAGGGTAAATGTTAAAAAGACTGAAACAACATGCATATTAGTCAGTTCATTCATTTGGTATGAAAATATTTTATTAAAACCAAATTCCTATCGCTGAAATATTTGGAGTTCCTATCTCCAAAAACTTAAAAATTATAAAAACATCTTGTGGTTTTTTTTGTATGTTGTAAACATTAAGTTAAAAACATTACAGCAAAAGGGTCTTAATATCTTATTTTAGTCAATGTTTCCATTACTAAAACTCAACAGGGAGATCATTGTAAAGTAAAAACCAAAAACGGCCAGTCAAAATCTACAAACATCATTCGAGTAATGTTAGCATATTTACAGCAGAATCATTAATTGTTTCTTTTCCTTATCTTCAGTTTTAATACAACATTCTAGCTTTACTGAGGTGGGACAATAAATTCACAAGGCAACGCTCCACGTTTGCCGAAAGATGCTTTATAAAGTCTGAAAAACTTGGTTTGGGATGAAGAACCAAGCATCATATGCATAAAGCATCCCACAACATTGGACTTTGATTTCTAGCCAGCAGTATTCAAGATTAGCACTGACATGTGAGAAGCTCTTATGGTCTTGATATATAAAGAGGCCTCTATGACTCTTCCGTATGTGTTTGTTCGGCAGATTTGTTCTCTGCTATAGGTTCTGAGGCTTTAGAGTCTGCTGTGGCTGCGGTGGAAGGTGCTGGAATATCGGGCTTGGCTTCAGGAAGTTCTTTAGTAGTGTTTGCACTGGGCTTGTTGGTATTTGCTGCAAGTCTCTCATTGGGTTCCATGCTGGTGAGACCCAGTCGATCGAGTCTATCATCTCGATCCCAGCGTGTGCTCCTCTCTCTGCTTCCTGCAGAGCGCCTCGTCCGTTCTTCACCGTCCCGTCCTCTATCTCTATCCCGATCCCTCTCTCCATCCGGACTTCTCCTCCAGTCCCTGCATTCCCTTTCTCGGTCCCATCCGCCTTGTTTTTCCGGCTCCTCGTGCCAGCCTCCAAATCGCGCACGACCATCCGGCCTCTCACCGCCACGACCCTCGCCAAAAGGGCGCCGCCCAACGTACCAGTCCTGTTCTCGATCTCTGCCCCGCCCTAAACCAGGGCGCTCGCCTCTGAACGGCCTCGCCTCGTGATCATTTGGCCCGTCTGGTCTGGGTCCGCTCAGCCTCATGAAGGGAGGTCCGGGAGGGGGGAAAGGGCCCCTGATGCCATGAGGAGGGGGCGGCATGCCGAAGCCCCCGGGTGGTGGCTCGCGGTGCATCATCTGAGGTGGACCCCTGGGTGGCATCATCTGTGGTGGGATGGGTGGCATGCCAGGTCGAGGAGGTGGAATGGGGAAGCGCTGCATGTGTGGGAGCGGCATCCCTGGGGGCCGCTGGAGAGGCATCATTCCCGGCCTTGAACCTAGAAGACCTGGTGGAGACTGCATGCCCATCCCTGGTGGACCTCCAGGAGGCACCTGGTTTCCTGCAGAGTTAATGATATAACAATGAAATGACTTCACAAAGACACATGAATAAAAAAAAACAGCATGACTATATTAAAATAATATTTCATAATATTTTGTGATTAATGAGACAGACACAAATACCCACCTGAGTTGAATCCCTCTGTTCCATCGCTGTTGATTCTTGGGCCCATACCTGCTAGATCGTTCGACAGGTCTTCAACTGAGCTGCCAACTACAGCAGAAAAAAATCAGGTCAGATGGGAAATTTGAAGAAACTGAACACTGGCTTACTGGTCAAGCCTATAAAAACTAAATTAGGTAGGGTTTATACAATAAAGTCTGCCCACCTGGAGGCATGCCGATGCCTGCTGCAGGTGGAGGAGGCCCAGTGGCGCCCAGAGGCGGCATGGCACCCGGGGGGAGAAATCCTGAAACAAAGAATAATGTGTTAGTAACTGGTACAATACTTCTCTGAAAACAAAACATCTATCCTCCTGATAACACGCTTAATAACATTGTGTCATTAGTATTTCTGTACCTGGTGGCATCTGCATGGGGTTAAAGCCTGGCCGTATGAAGGGACCTGGGGGTGGGGGAACCCCAGGTGGGAAAGAGGGGGGTGGGATGTTCATGGGTCCTGGGAATCCTGGAGGTGGGACACTGACTGTTCCCATTGGCTGGACAGGAGGAACCTGAAGAAGAACAAAAGAAGAAAAAATGAATAAATAGGACCAAATCTAAAAACTTTAGGAAGAGGAACCAGGGCAATATGAGTTACCTGCATAGGTACTACAGTCGGGCTCTCCTCCACTTTTCCCACCTCAGGCCTGCCGTTCTGAGACTCTTCAGCCTTCTCCAGCTCAATCTGAGAGCTTCTCCATTCTGTGCAGGGACATGCAAACAATACGTTACAATGTGAGCTCAATGCCTAGACAAATTATTAACAACTGGTTGCAATAGTTACCTGGTGCAAGAGTATCAGGGTCCAGCATCCCTCCTTCTCTAAACACATCGAGGTCCTCCATCTTTACTTTGGACCATGGTATATAGGATACACCCAACTCCACATCCCAATACTGCTTGAATTCAGCCTTGATGCCCTTATTCAAAGCCCAGGCAATCTGGAAAATACAGTTATATAATAATTGTGAAAAAATACCAATAATACTGTTCAAAAGATTTAAGTCATTAAGATTTTTAAAAGATATTAATACTGTATGACGGTAAAGACAAGGTATTTATAAGGTCTATTTACGTTGTTTTGAATTTTCTATTTATCAAAGATCCCTGAAAAACATACAAAGAATATTAAGCAGCACAACTGATTATAAAACTGGTAATAATAAAATCAGAACACTAAATTACCAAATTAAGCAGCAAATCAGCATATTAGAATGATTTCTGAAGGATCATGTGACATCACAGGAATAAATTACATTTTAAAAACTATTCAAATAGAAAACAGTCATTTTAATTTGTGATATTATTTCACAATAATACTGTTTTACTGTCTTGATTACCACATGACTTATTTTAAAAACATTAAAAAAGTTATGTTAAAAAAAAATTTAATTTCTTTTTATGCGGTTTTATTTTTATCAGTCTGTGCTAAAATAATCATCTGATACCTTCATGGCTTTCTGGTTGACTTTGTATGGACCTCTGCTTAGTTTCTGCAGGGCTCGATAGGCATCCTGACGATGAATCATGACAATGTAGGCACAACCACGAGGAGGAATCATCTATCAAAATCAGACAAGATAAAATAAGACTTCAGCGCAAAAATCTAACATCATCTTATGTTCCCCTAATTCTCAAGAACATACATTAATTGAATCTATCTGCCCAAACTCCTCTAGTAAACAGGCCACGTCCTGCTGCTGTGTCCTTTTATCCAGCTGTCCCACCCATAGAGTAGTACTGCACACTGAAAGAGATACACAATTCCACACTGGCATCAGGAAGAAGGTTAATACTGTGTTATGCGTACTTTATAGTGGGCAATTAAGCATAATTCGACTGCATCCACTTGACTAGTGGTCACAGTAGTGAAAGTGGCCTTGCTTACCACTGAGAGTGTTATTCTTTATAGGAGGAAGGCCTTTTTGTCTTCGTTCTCTTTCCTTTTCTCTGTCTCTTCTTTCCTGAGACCGCGAGCGAGGCGACTGACGCCGTCGTTCTCGAGAACGAGAGCGCGACCGCCGATGCCGCATTCGTCTGGTACGGGAATTAGACCGAGACCTTCTTCTTTTAGGAGATCTGAAACAAAAACAACAACAACATTTAACCTTGTCACGAGGACTAGTGTTGTTGTTCATAAGGACAGTGGTTTGTTGTACGCACCTCGACCCTGAACGTGACCTCCTGCCATCGGGGTAAGGCCTAGCCGATGCATCTGAATTCATCATTTCCTGTGCCACAAGTTGTCAGAGATTAGTATTAAATTCTACAGCAGCTTAACAGTTAAGAATCAGTTAATTGTTCATTTCCAAAATGATTTTACCGGATGCTGATGTCCAGCCATGTGTTGACTGAAGGTGTCATTCTGAGGCGGATAAGCTGCATGTGGCTGCCCCATCTGAGGTATCATGTCTGGATAGGGCTGAGAGGTCATAAGACCAAAGCCTTGGACCTGTCCATTTGAAGGTAGAACAACCTGAGCATACAACAACAATAAAAACCAAAACGTGACTGTCGATTTATTAAAAGTGCAGCTCAACCAGGTCTCATCCCATTCGTCGATATTTGTGATATCACAAATCCCGGAAAATATGCGTTGTAGTCCAAACGAGCCGTTCGTTGT